GCAGCCCACCCACTTCCCCACCTCAAAACTTCTTCATCGTAGTAGGCATCTTCCTTGTAGTATTGCTTCACAGCCTCAGGAGTCCCTCCTTCATCCCACCCTTCTGCACCTTGCTCCCCTTCCCGGCTGACACTAATCTCCCAATCTTATTAACCCTCCACGCTTTCGCGCCTTCCTTGCCTGGCCCATACTTTGTACTCATCTTACTCCCGACTTCCCCGCTCTCAATTTCCTCTAGTAGCGGCTTTTTGTCCGACTTGATCTCCCTTGCCTCTCGAACCTTCTGTCTTGTAGGGTGAACCTGTTGGATCCGGGGCGTCGTCATAGTCGTTGTCCGAGGATGTAGGGCGAGGGGATCTAGCTTTGCTACCTTCCAGGCCACCCGAGGAAGAGAATAGATTGGAAGATTCTGAGGAATTGGGATGTGGGTCCGATCCGGTACTGGTACCCGATGGCGTATACCGTATGGTAGGCGCAGATACAGCCGCTTCAGTCAGCTCGCGACCCTGTGCAGCGTCTTCCCCGAATCTGTCTTCGGCGAAGAGGTCTTTGAAGAGCTTGTCCTTGGGTGATTGCATCTTGGAGCCGTATTTCCTGGAGGCGAACTTCTCACCTGTGGAATGGGAGCTTTTGGCTGACTTGTCGGATCGTTCGCGTTTTGGGTCATACTTTAACACTCGTGTATTCGATCCTGACATACGATAGGACGTGGGCCGTTGAGTGATGCCAGAGGGGATAGTATTCTCGGCCTTTGAAAGTGGAGTCTGCACTATATGCTGCTCTTCGGCTCTAAGACGTTCCAATTCTAGGTCGAGGGCAGCGATCTGTTCTTGTATATTTCTTCGCTTCTCCCGTTCGGCCTTCTGATTTTCTCGCCCCTCAGTTCTTCCCTCATTCGTCTTGTTCTCAAGGCTGCGAACCCGATCGGAAGAACATGGTTGAGGTCCGCTGAGCAGCTTGTTGACCCTGTGTCGCTCCTCTTTGTGCATGGCTCTGAACATCTTCCTGTCATCTTCGAATTTTGGGTCAAACCACCACCCCTTCGCGCTCCGTGTTTGCAGTTCGCGGTGAAACTCGCCAACGAGGTACAAACTGCCTGTCAGAACGATCGGGTGTGCCTCGTCAGTCATGTACTTTGCCGCACATAGCGCTCGGAGCGCACCGTCTATGGGCATGGCTAGTCCTGTGAGCATAGGCACTTTGGACTTTGCTACCTCAAGAAGTTTTTCTGGATCCATTGGTTTCACCCAAGGCATGCCGTCCACCGGACCGAAAGTCGTGGTAATGACGTTATCTCCTGGTCGCAGGAGGGCTTCCAGAAACTGACGCGCTTCTTTGCCCTCTGTCATAGCAAGTACCCACGTAATTGGCCATCCATGTCGTGGGGGTCCTGTTACTCCAGAAATGCGTCTGTGTCTTTCTTTCTGATGCAAATAATCGTTGAGTGCTCTTGCAGCATCAGGATTGTGAGCTCCGTCTACAAGGACCGGTCTTCCTTTATTTCGACTCGGTTCCTTGTCTGGTTCCCCAAAGATGGGCGGGACTTTGACTCGCTCGAGTCGTCCTGGGTTTGTATGATGTCTGGCATTCCACAATATCTTTCCGATGCTGAAATTGGTGAATTCAAGCCCCATGCTCTCCACAGTTTGCTTGGCAGCTACTAGAGCTAAAACTGCATTGTCCCGTTGGAATGGTAGTAACGGTTCGGAAAAGCGATACCAATTTTGCTTAGAATATAGCGCCTTCTGGAGCTCGGGACTGTCGACATTGAGGAGAGGGCCTGCCCCGATTTCTTGGGCGTATTCGCGGATGACATTCTTGACATTGTTCTCGTTCGCCTTATTAACAATATACGGCACGTTGGGCCTGAGAATACCAGCTTTGTGTAGTGCAATTTCCTCGAGGGTGTTTCCCAAAAAGCCCTGGTGGTCCCGTGCAACCTTTGAGATGACTGAGACTGCTTGGTTCTGCAGTATGTTTGTGGAATCGAGCTTTCCACCCATGCCCACTTCGACAACTCCAACGTCCACCTTCTCTTCATTGAAGATGTGGAAAGCAGTGGCAGTCAAGATCTCGAACGGCGAAGCACTGATGTTCTCCTTGAGACTAAGCTGTGTGTAGTGCTTCTCTATCTTACGAAAGAGTATCTCATCTACAGGCTTTTCATTGATTGAGATGCAGTCCCATCTGGACGAGTTAGAATCCTAATACAGCCGACGTAATAGCGTGCTTACCTATCGACGAGATGTGGAGACGTGAATTTACCACACCTAAGCTTCCTTCGCGTGAGCAGGGTCGAGGCATAGTGGCATACGGAGCCTTTGCCGTTTGTGCCAGCTACATGTATGGCTTTCCACGGGAACTGAACATTTTTCAGGAGCTGGCCGATCCGTTCCAAACCGGGCTGGATCATGGCCTTTGGATGTTGTTATGGTAGCATAGGCAACGATGGGTCTAGGCAGGCGTGTCGGAGTTCTGAAACGGGATACCTGCAGATGGTGTTGACTCATTGCAGCGAGTGGACCAAAAGCTGCATGCAGAAGCGACCTTGCCGCAATAGGCAACTACGGCTTGGCAATGTTAGTCGCGCCTGCCGCAGATGACGGCTTGTTTGGCCTCTGCGAGCTTGGAGACTGTGGATCAGATGGAATGGAGCGTGAAGGCTGTCGCACAGCAAGATGTGTTCAGATTGTACAAGCATAACTATATGATTGCTGATGAGACTGGTCGCGCCTTCCCCGGACGCTTCAGCCTCGCTGAATCTGTTTTAGGCGCTTGCGACCTGCACCGCCTTCCAAGGTTAGTTCCTCCTCCGACCACCCCAGAACATTCGCCAGGCGCGTCACCATCAACAACACATCTGCTCCCATCTTTTTTGACCCGCCTCCACCCACTCGTTTTGTACAATGGGCATCCCAGTCGGATGGAACATCAAGCGGGAGGAAGCGAAGGAGCAAGACGTGCTGAGGGTCGACGTTACCGGGCAACGCTCTCCCATTCGGCGCCGCACCAGACCGGCGACCAGATCTCGACCTTACAGCACCCTCGACACCGACTTTCTGATCTCGGCTGCCCGCTCTGGGGCACATGTTGAGTGGATCCAACGCCCGTCGAACACGCGCACGCGTCTGCCCCCGCCACCAGTCCCTGAGGTTTCGAGGGCCGATTACCGCAGCAACGAGGCGTCGAGGAACCCGCCGACTCTGCAGCGCGACGAGAGCAGCTTGCGGCGGTCGCGCAATCGTGTCGATCGATATATTCGCGCCTACGAAACGCGCGCCACCGTGGACAGCGAGCGCACCGCTCCCGCCTTGACTCCGGGGTTTGCGCCGGCGGCAGCGTTGCGAACTTCTGAGCTCGATGCGCTGCGCGAGGCTCGTGACCTCTCACGCCTCAGAAACCGGTCATCGTACCGTCGCGATGCCGATCCGCGCTTGACGCGCTCAAGGAGCCCTCGCGCAGACCGGTCAGCGGACAGAGGCGCTGGCGCAGATGCTCCTGAGCACGGCCACGACAGCAGCGACAACAACGCCGTAGCCTTCCCCCTACTGCGCAGGATGGGTCGCCGGAATATCGCCGATGGGCCGCTACCCTCCAGCTCTCTTCGCGACGCTTGGAGCCCCGTGCCTACCGTCGATGGCTTGGGCGACCGCACTCGCAGCGTCAGTCCCTTCGCCGACCATATGCAATGGGATAGTTTCCTCACCACTGTCGTGCCCGATCCGGTCGCACCCACTGCTGAATCGTCGTTTGCATCCGCCGCAGCCTCAGCCTCGTTCTCGAATTCGCATCCCAGCTCGCGGGCTGGTAGCTCCAACTCCGCAACGTCTTCGCAAACCCATATCACAGTACCGTCGCGTCTTCCGTCGCCACCGCCAAACGAGCAGTTCATGCGCGCATGCGATACCTCGGAGGACGACACAGCTTCGGATACAGAGGAAGAGGAGACGGACGTGCGTGGCAGTATCAGGCGTTCCAATGCCAGACACGCTATCGTGGGCTACTACAACATGTCTGATGCGACTGCTCGCGCCGCAGCCCACGCAACAGCCCCGCGCCGCAGAATACGACCATCGTACTTCTCCGACGAGCCTCCAATGCGGGATACGGAACGCTACTCGCCACGTGTCATGGAACAGTCCCGCGACGCGAGCGCGTACGTTCGCAGCTTCTACAACTCGAATAGCTGGCGCGAGAGTGAAGCGCAGACTGAGAGGCCCCAGATCCCGCAGCTTGACGGACCAGCAAACGAGCCTGCGAGCATCAGCGAGGAAGAGATCCCACCGCTTGCGCCTGTTGACCTGGCCTCGCGGGATCAGGAGCTTCGCGATGCGCGGCTGCTACTCGAGCGTCTTTCGCGCCGGGAGGATATTAGCGACGACTTCTGGGCGTCGGTTGGCTTGACGCGTTCCTTTACCGATCCTGTTGAGCGTTTCCAGGAGCGCGAACATCCCTGAACATTCATCTGAAACGTATATTTCGACATATTGGACCAGCGGCACTGGCTGGCTGGTCCCGCTATGGTTTACTTTTTTTTTCTGCTACACAATTGTCGCTTTATACGATTTTACTATTCTGGTGTTCTATCTTTTTGACGGGGTTATTGCGATGGCATCTCTTGCCTGTATTGTTTACCACGAAAAGTAATGTTGGAGGCTACGAAGCATGCTCGGGGATTGGGGGCTTTGGGAGGATATGGAGCCTGGCACATAGATAAGAGGGCGCCGTTGTGTATCTCTATCTAGCTTCCTGGGCAAAAGGGAATAAATAAGCCTTTCACACGCCTATGCGCGTGCTGCACCTTACATGACCTTCCCAAGACTACCGTTATGTTCTCTGCTGCCATGATGCGACTTTGGTGTTCCCACCCCTCCCACGGTAACAACTAAAAATATCAGCGCACCCGTGAGCGCACCTAAACATTCAACACTCGAACCACGACACCCCTCCAGAACCCAAAGCAGAATGGACATATCGGGGGAGCAAAAGGAAGCAAAAAGCATCTCGGGCGGGGCTCGAACCCGCAGCCTTTGGATAACAAAGAGTAGAAGTCCAACGCGCTACCATTGCGCCACCGAGACCGTCGAGCGGAAAGACGAACTTCTGGAAGAAATTTTAAATTAATATATATATATTCTAGAGATAAAAGCTGTGCAGGAGGCTTCCATGTGCTGGGGGTTTATAATGTATCCTGGGAGTTTGGAAAAGGTGAGTTTTGGCTCACGAATGAGTGGACTGAGGGGTGATGACACGTCATGAAGTGGGGGGAGGGATGTGGAATGTGGGTCGTAAAGCGAAGAAGTCACGTTCTACGATTCCCTACCCTCGAGTCCATCTGCAGGTTAGGTGTTTTCATATTTGCTACATGGATGGATAATGTAGGGTAAAGAAAGTATGTAACAGTTTCGTATGCTGGTTCGATGCGCAAGTTTAACATGCTTGCTTGCACAACTGTGAGTACGTTTGTATGCAGCGTTATTTGTTCAGGTCTCAATTATATGCTCTCTATAAACCAACGTAGTGGCTCGGAAGTAAGTAGTTTAACTAGCGCTGCTATACGTGTGGTTCCGAATTTTGAGGTCGAATTTTCTGAAGCCTTGCGTCTTTCCTTCGGATGGACGTGCTACCAGGCCACCACACCTCCCTTATAATCGAGTGCGTTTTTTCCCATCATTTTTCCCGGATGATACTCGTCACACTATGTATGACACCGCAGAAGCCCACGTGCACCGAAATCTTCATTTTTTCTATACCCTGGTAGTAAGTGTAGAGGTTTGACGTGCTCGCCATCACCCTTTCTCAACCTCCTTGACCATCTCCAACAACACATCATCGCCCAACTCCGCAACCGCCCCATTATCTCCCCTCTTTCGTTTCTGCACTCCCAGAAGCTGCAGCCTATTCGACTCCCAGCTCACCCACGCAGCAGCCTGCAAGAAGCAATCCGTAACATCGTCCAACTTCTTCAGCTCTGTTTCCCCAATGTCCTCGACTTTGACCATATTGGTGCCCTCTTCTCTATCTGTTTTCCTGCGCCTAGGGGATTTTTTTGGTGAACAGAGAGCTTGGCGGGTGGACTCTGCGTTGGCACCGATCCTGAAAGTAATGACCGGTGCAGTTCCAGAAGTTGTGTGTGCAGTGGACGGGAGATTTGAGGAGAGCCACGAGCGGAGGATTGCGATTTTGATCTTCTTCTCTGCTTTGCTGCGAGTGAGCTTCTTCTTTGTGGGTACGCCGCCTTCGTCTTCTCCAGGCTCCTCTACTTCTGCACTCGGCGCCGCAGGCCGCTTCACAACAAGCCCCTCTTGCTCTGTCGACGAAAGAGTATGCATGTTCTGTCCCAACCAGTAATGCCCCACACGCTTCGGATCCACACCAAAAACCTCATAATCTCTCTTATCCTCCCGGTCTCTCAGTCTCGGCAACACAACTACGCGCTCAGACCGTAAAGTCTCTAAGACAGCCCACAACATGCCCTCCAACGTGTTGACACGCACAGTCCACTGCTGGATCGCACTTCCGCCACCCGACCGCCATCTCTGCTTCTCAATCAACACAACATCCGGGGCCCCAGCCAAGATCGTGTTCTTGATCAACTTGTACGCAGTCGAAGATAACACGGACAAAGAGTACGGGTCTACGTCTTCATCATCCTCCGCAGAACCTCTCTCGGTAGCCTTGGAACTTGGGAGGTGGGAACGAAGATGGCGCGTAGTCTTGACGAGGTCGATTTTCTCCCATTTCACGATTTCCATTGTGGCATTTAGGCTGTTTTTGGTTGGGTAGGAAATTTCCGCATCGCAGAAGGCTAGATTCTTGATGCCCATGTCGATGCTCACGATGCGGAGTTTTAGGTCTGTGGGGCGTGACGTTTCCCATCCCGGGTGACGTGTGAAGAGAAGGGACTTGTTGATGTCTCGTGAGAAGCGGTCCTGGAGAACAGCTTTGGTGCCAGAAGATGCGGAGCCGATGCGCGTGAGTAGTGCTTGCAAGGCTTTCGCCGTTACGGTACGGGGTTTAGGTGCCATTGCGACCTAGATGGACGGCGACACGGCTATGAAGAGAGAAAGTCCAATATATTGCTTATTGATGGAGGAAAATGTGTTGATCAACGAGGAAGAGCGTTACCGTGTATCGAATCATGATGGATAGGCGAGTGCGTGCTAGCAACGCGTAGACAACAATGCATCTAGCTAAATATTGACATGTTGGGCTTTTCTGGGCAACAAGATCCAATACTAGGTTGCGGCGACGTGGTCCATGAGAAACTTTGTGGTATTGTCTTGGAAAAGAGGTGGTGGACGCGTCGAGGTCCAGGGGTCAATGCGGACCACGTGAGCACGTTATAACATTGGAGCAGCACCTGACAGAAGCAAGGTATGTCACATATCACCGGATCTTGTATTGCGTTACGATGAGTCAATTGGCTCAATTTGGTAGCTAAGGTGGTGCTTTACGCCAAGTAACAAGTTTTAAAGCACCATCTACAGCAGTACGCATCTATATATTGCTGTAAATTGCGTACCCTTGGTACATGATAAAATATGCCGCAATACTGTACAGCATGTACAACAGTCAGACAGGAAGGTGACAGTATCTGAATAGCTAAATACACGGGTATCGAAGGTAATATGAAGCACGAATGAAATATATGCAAACTTTTGTTGGCGCCTGTTTAACCCATGGGTACATGGTCGAGTTGTTGGACATGTACAGTTCGATCCGAAGCGCAATGCGCTAACATGATGGCAAAGACTGCGCTGCTTCCTCATGCTTCAAGAGCGGATGTCGAGTCGCCGTTTCCGAAGACTCGGAATTGAATGAAGATGACTACGTCCTCGACTATGGTGCCGAGGGAGCCGATGAGCCAGGGAAGATTGGTGAGGATGTACTCCTTTTCTTGCGAATGAAAGATGATCTGTCGACTGTCAGCATACCTTCGCTTCAGCTGGTTGAAACACTTACTCCTGCGCCGTACGTAGCATTTCCTAGCAAGCTCAACATGAAGAACAGCAGCGATAACCCTTCGCAAGACTTTTCCCGCTGGTTCTTGACGATCTGAGGAATGCGCGCTCCGAGATAGCAAATTGCGCTTGCATATCCAAGTATCTGCGCTCCGAGCGCTATGTCATCACCTCCAGCTTCCTCGTGTGTGGGTTGCGGAACCCATACGCCAGTCTTCCATGCGATGGCCCAGCCAGCGGCACCGACCACGCATACTCCGATAATGCTCAAAGAGTTCTTTATCCACTCGGTACCGCCCTCCTCGACATCCATGATTGCCGGCAACGAGCTTGCCCTGCGCCTGCGGCTGGCGGCAGAATCCCTCCTGTGGCTGCCCGGTAAGCCGATATTACTCGAGTCCCTGCGACCGAGCAATGGTGCCTCGGCGCTGTCGGTGGATCGGGTCGAGACTTTGCGCTCTCTTCGCGAGTTCTTGATGTTGTAGTAGACGCATTGCGAGATAAGGATGAGGTCCGCAAAGCAGAAGTAGATGGCGAGGGCGATGACTGTGGGAACCAGGCCAGCCCATATTGCGCCGGCGAGATTGGTGATGTCGCCGATGAACCAGACGGTGAGGAAGGCCAGCGATATGCCGTCGGCCGAGCCGGACTTGTAGTTTTCTATGAGTTGTGGTACCTGGACATGTTAGTATATCACATATGTGCAGGACCTTGAAGCTACCCATGCTATGCAAACGAGGCTGTACTTACCAATAAGAAGATCCATGAGGCCAGCGAGACTGAGCCGAAGACGCCTGACAGCGCCTCATGAGCTGTCAACGACATGATGGTGGTGAACATGTCTTCACCCGCACTTCGTACGGCAAGAGAAAATTTGACAATTGGCAGGATATGCCCTCTTGTAGATAAGGCGTGCAGAAATTCCCAGTCTACAGATGACGCAAGTCTAGCCGGAGAGGATGCCCAGAACAAGACCTGTTCCGGCGGCTAGTGAATGGGGGATTTGATGATGGACTAATGGCACTTGCCGTAATCACAAGCACGCGATAATGGAGAGACGCGACTTGAGAGGGATGAGTAGCCGGTGTCTCCGCAAATTGCTATTGTTTCTGTTGAGAGCAGATGTTTTTATTTGCGCTTTCTGGATGCGACCGCGCATGCCAGGGTCGCAGGCAGCATGAAGTCGGTGCTCTCCGCCAGGCCCCTGCTCAATGCGGTAGCTAAATTTGGGCATCACTCTCACTCGCGCAACACGACTGCTCCACTGATCATCAATCAACACATCCAGTCATCTGCTGCACACTCGTTTTTCTCTAGTGTCTCTTCATTCATTCATCTTCCTATCTCGCTTATTCATCTGGCAAACAGCCGTGGCGATACAACAGTAGTCGCCCTTCACCACCATCTATCTCCTTTAATAATACTAAGCCCTCTTCGTGAAACGCGTCAGCCCCATCGTAAAAGTCGCACACGACACCATATCCACGGCATCCGCCCACTGCGCTTCCACAGCTACCCAACATGATGCGCCAGGCCTGGCTTTTGGTGGCAGTCTTTGCGCTCGCTGCCTTCTCGTCAGCGTTTAGCCTTGATGGCCTACACATGGACGGCATCGGCGAGTATTTGCACCACGGCGAGAAGCGACAAGCCTCTGGGACCGGCGGAAGCGCATCACCCACATCGGCAGCTCCACCAGAAAGCTCAGCTGCACCTCCACCATCCTCAGCGCCCCCAACGTCAAAGACGCCAGACCCTTCCCCCACCGACAAGCCAACGACGCCGACCGAACAACCCACATCCGACGCTCCCGCTTCTTCCCCCGCCCCATCAACAGCAGCGCCTGCACCAGAGCCTTCAAGCAACGGCGGCGGGAACAACCAACCCACATCCTCATCACCACCACCACCAAGCACAGGTGGCGTCGCGCCAACGACTAGTGCAAAGCCGACAAGCTCACAGCGGACGGCACCCGTTACGAGAACTACTGCTCTTGTCTCGACGTCACTCCAGCAGTTCGTCACAGTCATCACGACCATTAGCAATGGCCAGGAAGTGACGGCCACATCGACGGGTACTAGCAGCATCCCCATCACCACCGGCCAGGCCGTCGTCACAGA